CGAGCAGGGAGCCCGATGCGGGACTCGATCCAGGGACTCCAGGATCATGACCTGAGCCGAAGGCAGTCGCTTAACCAACTGAGCCACCCAGGCGCCCAATTCAATATGTATTTTAAATTAATCAATGCATATGCTCTTCCTCTCCATCTGCTTTCTATAGAAGTTATACAGTTGCCCATTTTGCAGTTGAGCTGGTTCATTCCACAGGTAGGACTAGAACCCAGGACTCTTGACTCTACAGTTCTGACCCCCATTACCCTGCCTGGCCAGAGGTATGGCTGGAAAGGCCCTCTTCCCTTGTTCTCTAGGGCTTAATGGACAGGGATCACGTGGCTTTTGCTTCTTATTTGGGCAGGAGCCAGAAGTCAATTGCCCATAGGTCCCAGCCCTGAAAGGCCCTGGGAAAAAGCAATAACAACTACCTTTGACCACTCATGGACCAACGTACCCATCATCCATCTTTAACCATTTAACATGGTGGTTTAGAGCCTGGACTTAGATGTTAGCCGTATCTGAGTTTGAGTCCTGACTCGTTATATATTAGCCACTGTGTCCTTATGTAAGGTACCTCAATCTCCCTGAGCCTCAGTTTCCTCACTGTAAAATGAGGCCACAGCGGGTTTCCACCCAGAGAATTGTTGTGAGAATTCAGTGTAACAATGCAGGTAAAGGTATCTAGTAAGCATAAGTGCTCAGCAGGTGAGTGCTTCTGTATGATTCCCTGAATACTCGTGTCTCCTGTGCCCCTGAGTGTCAGACATGGAGCTGGGTGCTGGGCACAAGGAGGTCAGATAATGCAGTCCCTGTCTTCAGGGATTCAGGGTCGAGTTGGGAAAGAGACAAGGGGGGTTTGATGCTGCAAGCCCAGGCTATTACGGGAGCACAAAGGAGGGGCACCTCATCCAACCAGAGGGAGTCTTCCTGGACGAGGTGACATCTAAGCTGAGTCTTGGGGGCTGAGAGGGGCTAGTGAGATGAAGGGAGGCATGCCAGCCCAGAGCAGCTGCAAGGGCATTGTCATGAAGAGACCAACCCACATACTGACATCACAAAGTCACAGAAATGCATATCAATTTACACCAGTCACCCACAGTGACAGCTACAAATGCGTGTACCCAAATGAAGACATAGACACACATGGAAAAAGAGAAACCAAGAGACACAGGACAAATAGAAGGACATACACACAGAATTATAAACGGTTCCCAGGAGAACCCATTCAGAAACAAACACTTTCACACTCACGAACCCACACACGTTTCCCCTCTGAAGTTAGAGGCTTTTGGAAGCTTTGGCCCTCAGACCAAAGCCATACTGTTCTTTCCCTGCTCAGCTGACAGCCTAGAGCAGAGCTTGGCAGTTCTTTACGAATCCAGTTCCCTTGCCTGCATCCAGATCAGTGGCATCCTTGGCAGGTGACAGATTGTGGGTGGGGGTTAGGCTGGAGAGGGGGCTGGAGAGAGAGAGAGGTCATGGGCTGCACCCAGCCTGGGTCTCAGCTTTCCCAGCGGAGTGGCAGAGGAGACAGGAGTGTGGAATTAAAGAAGAAATGATGTTTGTCCTCGCGGATTCCAAGGGCAGTGTGATTCTTGCCAACTGTGAGTGTCCTGGAAAGGGAAGACAGGACAGGGCGGCCACTGACAATGAAGTAAACAATGGTGCCCTGCTGTGCGGTCTGAGCAGCACGGATGGAGGCTGAGCCCAAAGAAAGGCTTTCTTACAGAGGGCTGCTCGTGAAGAGCTTCCTCGTAGGTTCATAAAGACCAGAACAGCACCTGTCTCTGGGTGACAGCTGCTGGGAGGCAGGGGGATGAACCAAATGACCTCAGTAAATGACCCCTCTCCCCCATTTTCTGGAGCCAGAAGCCCAAATGAGAATTAAGCCATATCCCAGGCAACCACACGATTGAGGATTCTTTGTTGCTGACACTGGAGACTTATATTTACTTTCACCTCTCGTTTCAATGTCTGTAATTTGCTGATTGCCTTTGGGCTGCAGGAACAAATATTAAATCTGATAAGGCCTGCTGCCACTGAGGCAGAGCCATCTGTCTCGGGGATTTACGAAATTACAAAGAACCAGGACAAGAGCATTCCAATGAGAGGGCAGTAAATCCCAGGGTTGGTATATAAATAAAGAGAAAAGAGACGTTCAGATGAACCACAATTCTAAGTGTTGTTCTCCCTACCTCTTTGGCACATCCTGCCTCAGAGTTCTCTCTCTAGGAGAACCCCACCAGAGTTTTGGGAAACACAGGAAGCGGACAATGGTGTGAACAAGGTGAGAAGGGCTCTGGCCAGTGTCGCTTCCCTCCTGATAGTTGCAGCGGGCTCTTGCTTCTGTGGGATTATCAGTGTAGAATATTCTGGAGTCCTCTACGGTCAGACTAGAACTGAAGGAGACACTCTTGTAGACAAGAGAAGCCGCCCTTTCCTCTCTCCCTTTTTGGGCCAAGTACAGTTCAGAGGCTCAAAAGCCAGAGAAGGCCTCAAAAGCCATTAAGGTCTAAACAAGCAAGAAGAGTCCTCACATTCTTGTTGAACTAGAAATCTGCCCATCTGAGCCTGGCTAACTCCTGCCCCATGCAAATACTTGTTCCTTTATGAAGCTGTCCATGACCACTGGCTGAGTTAGTCACTCCCTCTTCCCACAGTTCCCTGGATATACGCCCTAATAGCAGTGTTTGACACACAGTAGACAATCTTTTATTTGGATTTCTCTCCTCCATTGGATTTCACAGTCCTTGGAGCCAGAGGTGATGGCTTGATAATAGTAAGTCAATTTAGCATGACAGTTCTAGTGCCCACACTCTGGAGTGAAAGAGACTCAGATCCCAACTCTGTCACAAAGTAGCTGAGAAACCCTAGGGAAAGTTACTCTCTAACCTCTCTGTGCCTCAAGTCCCTTGTCTGTAAAATGGGGATAAAATACCTACCTCGTGAGTTGTATGGTATATGAATTATATCCCAATAAAGCTAGTACCAAAAAAAAAAAAAAAAGTGCTTACCCTAAAAGGCTGTGTTAGGCGTGAAAGGAGACAGCACATGGGTAACTCCCACAAGCAGCCAGGCATGCATTAATTGGTCAGCACGTGGTTGTTATTATAGTTAATAGGCCCCATCATAACCACTGCCTCTGGATTCCCACAGCCCAACCCGGGCCTGGCACACAGTAGGGTTCGATAAATGTTTGCTGAATAAATCAGACAAACAGACTTGGAGTGTCTCATATTCCTGACCAGAAGTGCTCAGCTGGTTAACTGTACCCCTGGGAAAAATTAATATAAACCTCCCGAGGATTAAATGCTCCCTGCAGCCTTAGAGCCAATGAGATGAATAGTGTGACACAAGGGAGTATCATAAATCATTAAGATCTCTAATTGGCAATTCTCAGCCTCATTTTCGGACTGTTTGTGGTTAAAAGTTTATAATGATATTCCTGCTGGGAAAATAAAACTCTGAGTCTTGTTAGAGGTGAACAGTTCTCAATTTTGTGACCATCTGAACCTGCATGGTGGCAAAGAAACAGAGGAAGGAATTAAGTACCCCACCCCATCCCCAGAGTGGATGCTATTGCCCCAAGCAGGGAAAATAAACCCCCAGAAAGATTTCCTGCCTCTTTGGTCCAACACATTTCAGTCTGTAGCATCTTTAAAGCTGCAAAGGCCATTAGATACCATCTAGTCCAATGAGTCTGAAGTATTTTTAAGACATGGAATCCTTTTGTCAAAGAATTTTTAATGGGAAAGTCCAACATATTCATAAAACTGGGGCAGCTTTGCGTGAAATCTGGAATTGGGGGGAGAAGCCCATGGAGGATTCCCTTGCCCCTCACCCCTAACAGCAGCCTCCAAGATGCACCTGTGGAACCTTGGATGCCAGAATATACAGAACTGAAGCAGTCAGATCATGAGAAGTTATTTGGAGTCTACAAAGATGATGTAAACGAAAGCCAACATACTCAACGAATCAGAGAGGTCCTAGACGCAGAGTAAACAAATGCACTTCCTACAACTTTCTGAATGACTAGTACCTGGGAGAGGTATTATGGCAGTGATGACATGGTGAGGAGAACAGGGCACCGTAAGTCTTCCTGGGGCACCAGCTTGCCTCCTGGCATTTCTGTTAACCGGATGCAGAGCATCTTCTAGAGGGAGATATTGCCAAGGGCTTTGTGCCAGTGTGGGGAGCTGACCCAGAGCAGCTGACGTGCACACACGTTGACCTCTTGCACATTCTCACGTACAAGGGAAAATCTTCCAAAGGGAAGATCTGCTCTCCCGCTGGGGTGACCTACCTTGGGCTGGGAGACACGGTTCTCTTTCCCAAGGTGGTCCACAATCCCGAAGATGCACAGTGGCCCGGCGAAGCCCAGCAGGTCAGCCAAGATGCGGAAAGTGCTGCTGAGGACCAGGCGTCTCCCGAAGGCGTGGCAGAGCGCCTGCCAGATGGCCCGGGCCCCCTGCGTGCTCTGCAAGTCCTTCTGCTGCCCAGCGAGAACGCACGGCCAGGTCAGAAGGGCCGAGGGCCCGTTCGCGGCAGGGCCCGGCCTCCCAGGAAGTCCCTGGCTCCTACTGCCTGGGGAAACCCAGTGGCCATATTTGCTGTAAACAGGTGAACTCCAGAAGAAATCACTGAGTCACCAAGTGCACAGTTAGGTGGGCCCTATCAACACCAACATGGTCCAGATGGGGAAACTGAGGCCAGGTGCTCGATCAAGGTCATACAGCTGGTCAGGGACGATGTGATGAGCACAGCACTGCAATGAGGAAGTGGCAGGTGGCACCCTCATTCGTCACCACCTGCGACTGCATCTGCCTCAGTGTCTCCCCACTGCGCTAGCACAGAGGCAGTGAGGAAACATGGGACTGGGAGTTGGGAGATTGGTTCTGCCACCTACCAGCTGTGGCCCAGCTCTGGGCAGGTCACGGCCTTTCTTGGGGTCTCCGTTTCCATGGCAGTGAGTTAGGGAGACCCCTGCCTGGCTCAGCTTAAGAGTTCTTAGAAGTATCAGGCCACTAAATCCCCCCTTTAAAATGGGTGAAAATTCCCACCTTTCTCATCACTGAGCTCTAGAAGGAAGAACTTAGGACATGAGGGAATTCAGTGGGGTCACTTCCCTTCTCAGGGCCTCAGTTTCCCCCATCTGGACAATGAGGGTGTTAGTTCAGATGACCTAAATTGTAAGGGCTGTTCTAGCTGGGACAGTCCTATGAACCTTAACTTCTGGATTTGTCCCCGGTTCTCTGTGTAACTTATGCAAGCCTCTTCTCCTCAGTGGGCCCTACCGGGGGTTTGACGTGATGCCTTCTGAGGTCCCCATCTGTGACTCTAACCTGGAGGGAGGGGAATGGATGGTGTGGCAGGGCCCCCACTGACCGCTTGGGTGTCGAAGGCCTCACAGAGCCGCTGGTAGTTGGTGAGGGCCCTCATGGCAATGGGCAGCTTCCCAATGGCTCGGAGATCGATGGGCTTCTTATGGGCAGTCTTGATGAAAGCATTCATCCACCAGTAGGTGCCTTTTGACAGCAGGTTCACAAAGGGCTGCAGGAAGCGTACCCCCAAGTCCTGTAGGTCTTCAGGGGGCTTCACCTCCCTTGGTGATTTGAAGAAGATATATCTCTGTGGGGCACATGGGTCACCAGGGACAGGTAAATGCAACCTCTCAGCCCTCTCCACTTTGCCCCAGAAAAGATCTGGAGTTGGGGCATCCCATCCTTGACCCTGACCTCTAACATTTGGGGCTATCTCTTGCCTAGTCCCAGGAGAAGGATCACTCCGCACATCTTGGCTCCCAGTGCCAGGGCCTCCTCACTTGTAACTCTTCCTTGAGGTCTACTCTGAATCCCCTTGGCTGGGTTGGGTTGGGTTGAAGTTGGATTGGGGAAGAGCAGAAATCTCCCATATACCATATCACAGATCTGAGGACATGACCATGTTTCATGTAGGGTTTGCAGAACGTGGAGTCATGCAAACCTTGGCTCAAATCCTGCCTCCTCCACTTACTAGCAAGGTGTCTTTGGACAAGTTCTCATCTCAAATGTTTCCTTGTCTGAAAAGTGGGTGGTAGTCACATCCCTGGGGTGCTGTGAGGGTCATTTGAGGCAGGGAATGTAGTTGGCCTTCGTACCCTGTACATAACCAACTAAAACAGGGGTGTCAGAGAAATGCAAATTCAAGTGGTACTTGATACTCATCACCCCAAATGGGGCTGGCCCATTGCTCGTTGGAGGCAGGGAGAGGGTTTTCTTATTCATTGCTGGTAGATTATAGCCTTTCTGGAAGGTGCTCTGCAACACTGACTGACATTTAAAACACACAGACCATTTGAACTAGCAACTCCGCTCCCTGGACCCTCTCCCACAGAAATAAAAGCAGCGATACATAAAGATATAAGTCTGTTTAATACACCATTATTTGTGAAGGCAGAAACTTGGCAATGAAGTGAAGGCCCATCAATTGGGTAATGGCTGAAGAAATTATTGCTCATCTACTTGATGGAATATTATGCAGCCATTAAGAAAACTAAATTAGCCATACCAGACTTGGAGAGTGTCCTAAGAGATAGCTGTTGGGTGAGGAAAACAAGATGCAGAAAACTGTGTATAATATGATCCTATTTTTATAAAATGAATATTGAGAGGGAAAACTTTTATATGTGTTGAGAGAAAAGAACCTTAAATAGATACATGAATATGGTATTCTATTAATAAAACCAAGAGTGCAAGGGCACATATGAGGTTGCTAATCTGGGTTACCTGGGGAGGGAGAGGTCCAGGGAGTGTAGGGTAGGGGGAGGGGAGAGAGGGAAAGGGGGTAAGCAAGAATGATAATGAAACAAGACAAAAGACATGTATGCAGCCACATTTACTCGTTCAGGTATATGCGTAACTATATGAATACATTAAAATAACTCCTCTCCCCCAAAACAATACCACCTCCACCACCAACAGAGCTCAGAGAAGCCAGTACTCGAAGCTCGAAGCTCGTTTCCCTCTCTATGGGATTAAACACAGAATCTTTCAACCTTGGTTAACACTTCCTATCACTTCCATTCCCTCTGGGAGCTTGGGGTAGAGGGCAGCTGGACCAGACAGAATGTTCCTCTCGAACCTCTCCCACTGGTCTCAACTCCCCTTTGGGGGCCGCTAAAAGAGGCTGACTCCTTCTAGGGCTCAGCTAAGAAGCAGGGTGGGGGGCCCACACCCAGGGGCAGAACACTGGTTGGAAGCTCCACCCTGGCCCAGGTGTGTCCTGAGGTGGGTGGCTGGGGTGGCCCAGGAGTGGCCTGCTTACCCTCACCCTGATGACATTGACCTCCACCAGGAGCAGCATCCCGTAGAGAATCACCAGCAGCCCCGTGAGGCAGAAGCGCAGCTGTGAGAAGCCGATGGAGTGGTCATAGAACTTGACGAACTTGATGGTCTTGGTGATGAAGGCCAAGGTCCAGTAGACTAGCAGGGCTGCAGGCGAGAGCATGTGTGTGCGATTCGCACGCATATGCACTCACATGTGTGCAAGGGTGTGGGAGAGAAGGGGAGACAAGAAGTGTGTCAGGGAGGAGGCATGTGTGTGAGTGAATAAGCCAACGTTATGGGTGTGAGTGCACATTTCTGAGTAAAGGGCCGTGTGTGTGAATCTGTACGTGTGTAATTTTGAGCTGGTGTACATACATTAAAACATCCATGATGGGTATGTTCAAAACAGTAACAATCTTGTAAGTCAAGCTGTCTTGTAAGTCAGCCAAATTTCCCTTTACAGCAATTAATAAATTATTTTTTCGGTTTAAATCAGTTGTAGGTGCTGTGCCAAGTAAGCACTTTAAGTATTATCTCACTTATTCCTTACAATCACCTTGTGAGGGGAGAATTGCCACCACCCCGGACTGACCGGACGAAGGAAGCCCGGCTCAGGTAGCTGAGCGGTCAGGCGGCGGAACTGGGCCAGCCTGACCCGGAGCCCATGTCCGGAGGCTCCATCCTATCATGGTTTGCTTGTGGGATTTCTAAGCTGGGAAGATCTTAAAGGTTCTTCAATCTGCTCTTTCATTTTATAGATGAAGCAACTGGGACCCCAAAGAGGATGTGAGCTGTCCAAGCTCACTGCACGCTTGAGTGTGCCCAGTCCAGAGCCCACGACAGCATGATGATGCTCTTGTGGAGCCTGGGGGCCTGCGGGGGTACAAACACGGAAGTCACAGTTCTGTGAGGCAGTGTGTATAGTCGTTAGAGCGGGACCCTGCAGCCAGACATACCTGGGCTCAGCTCCTGTACTTTAAGGGGTAAGCCATTGAACCCATTCAGGCCTCAGTCTCTTCACCCATAAAATAGGGATAATAATAGTACTTCTTCAAAGGGTGTTGTGAGCAATGTATGGAAAGCATTGGGCACAGTAGGCCTGGCACACAGTGGGTCCTCTTCGGATATCAACTGTTAATACTGTTATCATCTCCAGATTTTAGACCTGGGACCCTAAACGTCAGAAGCTAATCTCTAAATTCTCACCACCACCACCTGCTAATAAACCACTGCTAGCTGGCAAAAAGAGAAAGCAGCAATAACTAGTCCCCTTTTAGGAGACGCTTTAGCATGGACAGCTCCTTCCCCCTGGCTCCCTAGCGCCATATGCAGTCAAGATCAGCCTAAAGCCCCTAGAGCTCCTCTCTGGTGGGACCACAGAGAAGGAGACACCTTCACTCTGCCCTCCATCCCTAGGTGGGCCTGGTCACATGAATGCCAGGGCATCTCTTGGAGACCAAAGCTGGGGTCTGCCCAGGGCAAGGAATTAGGCCAAGATGGTGAACTTGCCCAGGGAGGGATGAATGCCATCTATCTCAGGTCCCTGGGTGAAGGCATTAGGATAGAGGACAGAAGCGTCTATTTTCTGTGCGCTGCCCGCCTCTGGCCCAGGAGTGGGAGGATAATCCCCTCAGCTTGGTGTGGTCCCCAGGTCACAAGGATCCCACAGCTGGAGGCCGTCAAGCTGCCTCCACACCTACACTCCCCCAGATAGAACCCAAGTCTCAGAACCTCTTTGGTTCTTCATGAGGTCACCTATGGGGGCCCAGACTTGAAAATATGCCTTACACAGGTCCTAACAGATGTGGTTTGATTTGCTCTTTGTGACAACCCTGTGACGTGGGCAGGGACTTACTATTCCTGTAGATAGAGAAACTGAGGCACGCAGAGGCTGAGTGTCATGTCCAAGGTCACACAGGGAGTGAGTGGTAGACCTAGGACTAAGCCCCAGGGCTATTTCCCCAGGGCCAGACATAGCAGCCCTCAGCCAAAGCTTAGCGCTTGACTGAGAGAAAAGCAGAAAAGGACGGTGGTATGACACAGGGGCTGCTGGTGAGGTTCAGGCTCTGAATTCCCCTTACCCCTGTGTCTTCCTTCCCCTTCTCCACACCCCACCTATTACAAGGTTCTGTCTCCTTTACCTCCTAAACTCCTGGGCCAGCTGGGTCACCATCCTATCTCCTGGGGGGGCTGCCATCATATCTCCCCTTGAGAGCCTTCTCACGGTTTCCCCACTTTCCTCTTGCCCGCCTCCAGTCTAGCCTCCGGAGCAATAAATCTGATCAAATATGAACTCACGCACTCATGTTCCTAACAGCATTATTCACAAGAGCCAAAAGGAGGAAGAAACCCAAGTGACCACTGATGGATGAATGGATAAGCAAAAGGCGGTATATCCGTACAATGGAATATTACTCAGCCTTAAAAAGAAAGGATAGTCTGACACATGCTACAGCACAGCTGAACCCTGAGGGTACTAGATTAAGTTAAATGAGCCAGTCACAGAAGGACAAAATAGTGTATGATCCCACTCACATAAGGTACCTAGAGTAGTCAGGTTCATAGAGACAGAAAGTAGAACGGTAGTTTTCAGGGGTTGAGGGGAGAGAGGAGAACAGGGAGTTATTGTCTGATGGACACAGAGTTTCAGTATGGGAAGATGAAAAGTTCTGGAGATGGGTAGTTTGGATGGATGGTGTGCAAAAATGTGAATGTTTTTAATGGCACTGAACTGTGTATTTAAAAGTGGTTAAAATGGTAAATTTTATGTTATATATAAGTTACACCCCCCCCACACACACACCCTAAGCCTCAATGCCCTTGGGATAAAGATCAATGCTTGAGCTGCCTGGTATGGTCCCCTTCTGCCACTCCAGCCTCCAAAATTCAGCTCTCTTCTGCTCTCTGCATTCCAGCCCTTGGTTTTCGTCCAGATTTCCTAACATGCTTCTCCTGCCTCAGGGTCTTTGCACATGCTGTTCCTTCGGCCCGCAACATTCTCCTCTCCCTTCTCCCAGTTAGTTCCTACCTATCCTTCAGTTCCCAGCTCGGATGTGACTTTTTCACAGAACATTTCCTTGATCTCATCTGGGGCCTCAGGACCAAAGTTATTTTGTGGGACAACGTAAGCCACATCAGGGTTCACGTTTCTGCAGGACTCCGGACCGGACCAGAGAGGAACCTTCTCAGGGGGCCAGCTGTTTCCCCAATACCCACTGCCCTCGATCCCTGCAGCTCATAGGGTGCATCATCTCTGCTTTTACCTGTTCTAGACTTACTGGTTCTGTAGAGCAAAACTCTAACAAAGGGGAATGGAGGAAGTTAGTCCTTATTCTTTGGAGAAAGAATGGTCCATCTATGGGTGGTAATTTGTGCTTTAAAGAAAGAACATTATGTGCTTTCTGGAGAATGAGAAAATGAACTTGCCAGATGCCCAGACAGGATGTTTCGGGGGCACTGGTCAGCCAGGTCCTGGGGTTAATAAGGGGTTCTCTATATAGGAGGAGCTGCTTCAGAAGCTTCAGAAGAGGGAGGCTCTCTGCTGTCTGTACCTATCATTTCTCTCCACTTGCTGCTCTCTAGTTCCCCAGCCACACTCTCATAGCATCACCCAGGTAGAGGATCCCCTGGATGATGTTGACGGAGCCCAGCTCCCACCTTACCCGGGAAGGCAGACCTGCGACTAGCTTGGGAAATACCCTCTGCCCGCTCATGACACCATGCTGTCTCTGGCCTAGCACAGAGTGTTCCAGACTCCAGACGTCAATTAGATGTTGTGACTCCTAAAAATCATAGCCTGACTTCATGATACACAGTCTGACCACAGCCTACCAGCCAAAGGTACAGCCCTGACCTTAGACAGGCAGATGGAGCCAAACATAGAGGCAGACCTCCAGATTTATACCTTTGGCCCAAGCAGTCTGAAGACCCTTAGACACACAGTCTCAGAAGAGGTTAAGAGCCTGCCTGTGTGCCAGACTCCTGGGATCTAAACCTGGTTTTGCCCTTGACTAGTTGGCAGACGAGTGTAAATCACTTAACCTCTGGGTCTCAATTTCCTGTTGTGTGAAGGGACGTAATAGTGGTATTGACCTCATAGTGTTGTTGTAAGGATTAAATGAGTTAATATATGTAAAATGTTTAGGAGCATGCCTGATGCATAGCAAGTGTTAAATGAAAGTTTGAGCTGTTACTTGTAACCTCTCTGAGTTCAGCATCCACATCTGTGGAATGGGGATAGCAACGATACCAATGTGGAGATTGTGGAGATCAAGTAAGATAATGCATGTGAGGAGCTTGGCACCAAGCCTGGCATGCAGTCCATGGTCAATAAACACAAACATTCATTGCTGTTGTTTCTGCCTGGGACCCCAGCCACACAATGTCGGAGGATCTAACTAGGCACTCCTTCTTGAATCTTTCTAAATGTTCACAGACTGCAGGCTCTAGTCTTGGGCTCTTTCTCTTCTCTCTCCAGGTGACCTCAGCCAGGCTCAAGCTTTAGATGCCACCTATAAGCCCCTGACCTCTGAACGTCTATCTCCAGTCCTGACCTCCCCCGAATGCCTGACTTATTTCTCTAACTGCCCACTTGACACTTGAGTTGGTTGTCTGAAACTCAACATGTCCCAACCTGCCCTCACCCCCACCAACTCCCCAAACCCCAACCCATGCTCCTTTGCCATGTCCATTATTAACACCATCATCTGCCTAGGTGCTCAGACCCAAAGCCCAGGAGTCTCCCCTGTTCCTCTCCTGGCCCCTGACTTCATCTCCTACCATTCCTCCCCTTTCTTCGCTTTGCCCACACTGGCCTATTTGCCAAATTTGTTCCTACCAGAAGGCCTTTGCACTTGCTGTTCCAAAGGATGGAAAATTCTTCCCTGAAATATGTGCATGCTCTCTCTTACCAGAGATCTTTCCTGACCACCCTCTATAGACAACAACATTGCCATCACTCTCAAACCCTTGCCCGGCTTTATTTTCTTTGTAGCATCTTTCCTACCTATTTGTTTATTCATTGTCTTTGCTTGCCAGTCTCCTCCCACCAGGAGGCAGGGATTTTTTCCTCTCCACTTCTGAACCTCTAGCTACCTAGAACAGTGCCTGGCATGTAGTAAGTGCTCAGCAAACATTATCTAGAGGAATGAATGAAGGTGACTATCCCTCTCCCGCCCCCTCCGGCTCCCCTACCTATCAGCAGCTTGGGGAAGTTGGAGGTCTCGATGTTGTGATAGTAGACCACGGAGGTGACAGCGGCCATGAATGCCATCCCAGCTGGCATGTACAGGTGGAGATGGCGGGATTCAGTCACCCTGAGATGGGGCAGAGGGAGAGAGAGAGAGAGAGACAGATTGGAGGTAGACGTGCCAAGTCCCCCTCATAGAGCAGCCCAGGCCCTGCGCTTAGGGCTCAGCACACAGTAGGGCCTCTGGATCATATGCACAGCTCCACTCCGTATATCGGCAGCTCTGCCCAGCCCAAACATACCCCAAACTTGCCCACTGGTTAGGGCTCCAGGAGTCCACACGAGAATGCTATGAGGGCTCAGTGTCCAGACTCTGGACCTCATGGCCTCTCCCTGGGTTCATGCTTACAGAAGCCAGCATGGGGAAGCCGGCCTTGGCAGTCACAGCTGCAGAGCCGCACCTGGAACCCCCTCTCTGGGAGTGAACACAGCTGGGTTCCTGTCCCTGGGGTCCCTTGGGCAGTACAGGGGCCTGTCCACCACGACTGTCTCAGTGACAGCCCCATTTCCCACGAAGAGCATAGGTCAGCACCGGCCCCGGCCCCAGGTTATAATGACAACACCTGTAGTCAGTATTTACAGAGCATTTACCCTGTGCCAGGCACTCTTCTGGGCACGTGACGTATGTGAGCTCACTTAATCTTCATGAAGTCCCATGACGTCGGTACTCTTAGTCTCCTCATTTACAGTTTCCTACAGAAAGCAACACTCACATTGCTCAGCCTGGGACCAAAGGTCCCGGTGATAATGGCCTCAGGCCACTTTTTCAGCACCGCCCAGCCTGCTCTTCCTGCTGAAGCCATTTTGGGAGCCCCTCCAGTGATGCTCTTGCTTGCACTGCTCCTTCTATCCGGCACGCCAAGCATCCCTGCCCTTGAGCATCCCTCAAGAAGCTGACAGTAGGGAGGGGGCAACCATGCTCAGAGCTAACTGTCTAACTAGGCTGTCTAGGGAAGTGATATTGCAGATGGACCGAAGGCTGAGAGCACAAGGAGCAAGCAGGCAGGCAAGTAAGGAAAACTTCACAGAGGAGGTGGCACCAGGCTGGACTTTGAAGGATGAACAGGAGCTCAACAGAGAAGGAGGGAGGACATGAGGAGAGCCACGCAGGGGCCCTAAGTAGTCTGGTAGGACTAGCGTATAGGTGTAGAGGCATTGCGGGCTGTTTATCGAATAACGTGTTCCCCTTCTGCTTTGCTAAAAGAACCACAGGTATGTTCTAGCAGCAACGTGCCCAGCCTAGGGAATGATGGTGCTTGGTTCAAGCAGCCATGCAATTCCACACCCCTTTGCCAGTGACTGGTCTAAGGGTGGCCATATAATTCAATTCTGGCCAATGAGATGCAAAGGAAAGCCTGCAGAGGATGATATCCTGCATAAAGAAGAGGCATGTGGGAGCGTGTCTCCTTTGCCCTTGCCTTCCTCCCTAAGTGATACCTGGAGCTAGGCAGCCATATTATAACCATGGGGAAAGATATGGCAGACACACAGAAAGATGGAAAGAGGCTGGGTCCCTGATGACATCACTAAGTCACCAAACCAACTAGAGAGGCGACCTCTAAATTTCTTGTTAAATGAGACCATAAATGTTGATATTCTTTAAGCCTTAATTGGTGGATATTCTCAGCAAAAGACTTACACAGGAGGTACAAGGCAATCAGTCGCTAGTGGGGTCACCGGGAGCAACCAACACCCTGTGTAGGGGGCTTCAAAACTCCTGCCTTTGTATTCCTTGAAGTAAGTTTTTGAAAAACTCTATACTCCCTCACACATTTGTAAGTGACATCTTAAATGTTATAACATAAGTTTGAATAAATTCATTTTTTGCAATAGGAGGGGGAAATGATAAACATTTGATATAATTAAATAAGATGAAGAATAACCAGAGTTGAAATAAATATTTCATGACATGACTTAACAAAATAGACTTTGGCTGCTTTACTGAATAATATACACTAAATTAGGTTAGAAATTAGGTAAAAGTTTTAGGTATGGGCTTTTTCCAGTGTATGGTGATCTAGGAAAACATTCTAGTTATATTGCTAAAAAAAGTGTTTCCTCTCTTAACTTGTACTGCTTTGGTTGTTCTACATTCAAAACATCACACAAAAATCATACCCAAAGGAGAAGAGAGGAAACCCTACAAATTTTAAGATGCCCTAATTAATCAGTAAATGAGGCTTACCCTCAACTAAACTGGAGTTTGAAGACCACTGCTTTAACTAGTCCCCCCTGCCTCCTGCCCCTCTACACTTCCAGGTAGGTCTGCAAACCCAGGCCAAGGTGGCCTGGGGGAGCCAAATGGCAGGATCTGTGGCTTCTCTTCCTGTCCGCTCCCTTCCTATGTCTTTTCTTCATGCTTGCCTGCCCAGGGGAGTGTCCCCACAGATGGAGACCAACAAAGACCAGGTGACAAGTGTCCAGTTCCAGAGCCAACCTGCCTGCTGGGGAGAGAATGGTAGTTTGCACTGAGCTGGGGGAGAAATGGGATACAGATGCAGCCCCCACAGGAGGGGCTGCTGACAGCAGGCAGGAGGGAGTCCCTGACCTGATTCATTCCAGTCTCCCACGTTCTGAGAATGTACTATTTGCCCAGGGCTCTGCCATTCCATTTCTATACCCGGTCTGTGCTCTAATTTCATCCTCCATGGCCCTGTGAAGCGGGCAAGGCAGGGATGATGCTGATCATTTCACAGGTAGAGAAAGTAAGGCCCAGAAAGGTTGGGGTGCCTGGGTGGCTCAGTCGGTTGGGCGTCTGCCTTCGGCTCAGGTCATGATCCCAGCGTCCTGGGATGGAGCCGCGTCCTGGGATGGAGCCCCGCACTGGGCTCCGTGCTCAGTGGGGAGCCTGCTTCTCCCTCTCCCTCTGCCTGCCTGCTTGCCTGTCTGTCTGCCTACTTGTGATCTCTCTCTGTGTCAAATGAATGGATAGAATCTTCGAAAAAAAAAAAAAAGAAAGAAAGAAAGAAAGAAAGGCTGAGTGGCTGGTCCAAAGTCCTGGAGCTGGTAGGTGGCAGAAGCCCAGCAGATGCCCCAGGTCTACCTTCTCCACAGGTGGGGTGTTTTCCTCTCTGCCACCCCGCTAATTATAACCCAGTGAGAATTTTTGGCCTGAGGACTCATAGGCATCCTTCCCCTTTTGAGCATTTGTGCTGCTTTGGAAGGGGTGTCTAGATGGGGGAGGGGGGTGGACTTCTCGCCTGCTAGTTATGTGGGGCAGCAGGCATTCTGGTCTTCTTGCTGGTCTGGGGGACTTTGATAAGCAGGAGGAGCCCCAAGGCAAGCAGTTGTCACAGAGATTACTGCTGGAGCCAGCATGCAGGGACACTGGGGGTGGGAAGGTGAGGTACTGTGTGTGGGCTGGGGGATCCCATCCCCCTGCTGTCCGGCTGGCCAGAGTGGAATCAGGGCATAGTCTGATTCCAGCTCAGAGTGGTTGGACCTCTGATATCTTAGCCAAATGCCCTCCACCCCCCACCACCCCCTCGCCCAGGCAGTCACTGAGCCATCCTCCGTGAGATGGCGGCTTCATCTCCTCCTCCCCCGCACCCCTGCTGCTGACACACCATTTCCGGCTGCAGTTATCTCTCACCTAGACTACTGCATCACCTCCTAAGTGCTGTTTCTACCTCCAGCCTCTCTCTGCCTCCAGCCTGCCCTGGAAACCCCTCATGCTGCGCTGACCACGTGCCTCTTCTGTTCCAAACTGCAGACAAAATCCAACCCAGACAGCCTGGCATTCGAAGCCCTTCTAGAGATGCCCCCAACCCCATCTCCAAGTCCCAGCCACCATCACTCCCCTGCACGTGTTTCACGCTCCAGCCCCCGTGCACTGCTCCCACCCCAACCTTTCCTCCCCCTGCCTTTATTCCTCCCCCCTCCTGCCTCCCTGGCCCTCTTTCTCCGGACTCCTCTGCTGTCCGAACCCTTGTCACCCCTCCAGACTCAGCTTAGAAGCCCCCTCAACCCGGAAGCTTGGCCAGCCCTGCCTTCCTGTCCCCTCCCAGAGTTCTTGCTTGTACCATTATTTCACTTATGCTCTTACGGAGCCAATACATGTCTATGGAGCTTCGTCGTGTGCCTTGTGCTGTGACAACAAAGATGAATTAAACCCAACTCTGAGGCCTTTCTCACTCAGCGGGAGACAGTTTTGCAAATAGACATAAACTTTAAATACAGTATGATCTGTGCAGTGGCAGGGGTGTGAGGAATGTGCTGTGAAGCCTGGAGGAAAGGTGGGTGACGGGAGGCCTTGGGAATGAGGCTAGAGACAGTGGGGGGTGCTGACTGTGAGGACCCCACATGCCAGGCTGAGCGCCTGGGACCCTGAAAACAACTGGGAACCAAGGAAAGGTCTTCAGCAAGAATGATTTTTATTCTTTCGAAGAAGGCAACTCCAAGAGTTGGGGCATTCTAAGAAGCTCTAGGATTGTTTCACTGGTCTTGGCGTGAGATCCATATTCCTTCTACCCTGCTACACGGAGGCCAGGGCCTGGGTCTCACCTGTGTCCAGCACTTGGCACAGAAAGCCTGACACACAGGAGATGTTAGGTCAATAGCTGCTGGATTTATGAGCAAATGTTACTGCCTCCTTGGAATGCAGGTGAACTGGGGTGTCCCCTGGCCTTCCAGGAAGCACCCTGGGATAGATCCACTCTCCTGAGACACTCACCCATCAGACAGGACGCCCTCTGCGATTTCACACACCAGGACGAAGAGCAGCATGAAGGTCAGGATCCAGCGCAGGTTGTGCCCAGGGAAGTGCAGCCACGTGCTATGGTGGATGTGTACTTTGGAGCTTTGACTGCCCCATCCTGCAAGGAGAGGCAGGAAGAGGTGGGAAGCCTGGCTCACTAGGAAGGGGTGCATGAACCCCAGGAGGGTGCCTAGGTATGGGGTCCGCAGTGGGGAGTGCATCCATTTGTACACCTGTGCACGAGAATGCCCAGGTCTGGTACGTGTGACCTAAATGTCCCAGCATGAAGCCTGGATCCGTGCAGGCCCACCTACGCAAGTACTCATTTTCTATGCTGACCTCTCGTCTGACAAATTATCATGTAAATAAACCATTTATTTGAGAACAGAAGTGTAAATGCTGGTACAATTTCTGATACACATATAAGCAGAAGTTACATATGCTTCCTCCCAATTTCTAATTGTTCGTCTTTGTCAATAACTACTAGCATCTCTGCCTGTGCAGCATCCTTCCCTTTTTAATTTTGTGACAATCTTCCCTTTCTTCCCAAAAGCTGTATATGAATTTTAAAATTTGCTTTTTTTTTTTTTTCTTAATTAGAGTGAATTAACAAGTTTTGCAGAGGCGGCGGACGCGGTATGAGTTGACAGAGCTCTAGCCAGCTTGGAAAATTCAAGGTCTGAAAGAGAGATGAGGGGGACCCCCAGTGAAGAGGCATGTAGGCTGGTCCTGGCAGTGGTGCCCAACTTTGCAGAGGGCTTTCAGGCAGGGACGCTGACCCAGGGGGGATAGCAGAGGAAGGGGACCCAAGTCCCTAGCTCCTGCCTCTCCTTGCCCAGGGCGCGTGGGACCCCCCGGGGACGTCAGAAGCTACTGACCACTGTCTGGCCCAGCCCCGGGAAGCGCAGGGGTCCACAGGGCCTCCATCCCGGCTTCTGAGGCCAGGCTGCGCTCCTCCCTGGGCCCAGCCTCAGCTGACAGGGAGGGTGCCTTGGGGGAAGGGTGTCCCGGCTCCCTACACAGCACTACTGGGGGTACAGCCCGAGACCCTCCCGACCTTTCCAGCGCCTACAGAAACCTCTGCTTTTCCGGTTCTCCATTTCAGCTCTGGCTCTGCGGTAGAAAACTTGGGGGTTCCCTGGGTCCGGAGCGTCCGCTGTGTTTGGTGCGGGTTCGGGGGCACCTCGGGGTGGGGGTGAGGGGATGAGCGGGTGTGCGAGGGCGGGGACCGCGGGGTAGAACACAAAGCAGGGGACCCGGGGAGGGAGGCGAGCGGCGGTCGCGGGCCCGGAGGGGGACCGAGAGCAGTGCGGCGCGCGGCGCCGCCTCCTCCTCCTCCCTCCCCGCCTATGCCCTCCCCTCCTCCGCCGCTCCCGGCGCGCTCACCGATGAAGAGGATGGGGAAAGTGATGAAGAGCAGGAAGACGTGCGGCACCACGTTGAGCGCGTCCACGAAGCAACCGTTGTTGAGGACGCCCTGGTCCACCCGGTAGGCGGCCGAGTGGTTCTCGCTGCCGCAGAAGGCCAAGGGCATGGCGGCGCCGGCGCGGGCGCGGGCTCGGGCTGCGGCTGCGGCTACGGCTGGCTCCACGCGCCTCCCGCGCC